GACGGGCAGTTGACAGCTCCAAGCTATCCATTCACTGGTAGTCTAAGGGAACCTTATTTCCGGTTGAGTTTCTATGCTTGCTACACCTGTAGTAGTTGACTGGAAGTCTGAAACTTTGATATGCAACCTCAGAAATTTAGTCATGACTAAACACCATCTTTAGTTATGTTCTATACATGTTGACGCTTGGATGCTCTATGTTTCACACAGAGAGTCGCCATTCTGCAACCAGAGAAACTTGCCATATGTTCAGGTTTTTGCCATATTGTGTACGAAGAGAATTGCCAGGCTATAGCTAGGTATTAGGTCATGACAAATGTTTAGGAATTGTCATGCTTGCTAGAAATAAGAGGATTGCCATGGTACAAAAGAGAAAACTGCCACACATGTCCAGAAAATTACCATGTCACAACATAGAGAATTGTCATGCTATAAGATAGAGATTGCCATGCTACAACTAAAGAATTGTCGTGGTGCGTGGCCTAAATGTCAGGTAGCAGGTGAAAGCCTTTTGTAAGCACACCCGCAAGAAACTGCAGGAAGAAAAAACACCCTTAAGAAAAAAAAGAACTTTATGTAAAAACTGCAGGTGCCAGATAGTATTTTTATTTTTTTTTCCCAAAAGAAAATATGCAGCAGCCGGCAAAAGTCACCGGGGTGGATTGACCCCGAACGTTTCGTCCGGCCCCAGGTACGTTCTCGAACAGGTTGTACTGTCGATATGCTACCCGCGTCGCATTTCTGATCCTGCGTGCGAAACCTCGCGGATCCCTTTTGGAGCTTAACCCAAACCGGAAAGGCCACCTCGATCAGCCTCCGGGCGAGAGATCATTCATTTCAGTGGCACCACCTTTTCAAAATAGAAAGCGCATCCAGTATCTTCCTGGAACCCTTCAAAAGCGATTATTACTTAATTAAATTGCAACGTGCTAACCCCATCGCGACCCGGCTTCCTCTATCTATCCCTGCTGCGCGCAACGCTTTCTTGCACGGCTTCTATTGTGTGCTCGCCTAGCCGAATCCACGTCCCCTGCTGGCCCCGCATTGTCAAACCGGGGGAAAGAGACGTACGGCGTATCATATGCGCGCCTAGCTCAGAAACAATCGCTACTAATACAAGTTTGCAACAACCCTGCCGCTGACAGAATCATTTACAATATCGGATGATGGTGGGGGGAAGAGAAATGCGCGCCATGGCGGCGGCCGTGAGAGAGACGTCCTACGTTGCGCTTTCTACCTGCTGATGCCTCCGCGCGCCCGCCGGTAGGGTACGCGCGTACAGATTGAAGCAGCCCCGAAGGTACCCAAAAGGGCCCTGGCTTTTGGTGGTAAATCGATCAGAACCACACTCATCTGTGACGTTGACGCACGGTATATATATATTACACGCCTTATTAACCCGTTCGTAGGTGCGTGGTTCTTTCGAAGGTCAAGCCATCCGTGGTGTATACGTCAAATGCGTCATTTTTATTACCATTTTAAAAGAGGATACCTACCGTGTCAAGCGTTTTACTAGTTGATATCTTGGCTACGATTGGGCCGTAAATTCATCACCTAACCTAATCAAACACCCCTATCTTGTCCAAACTTCGCCACCATCGATCAAAGGCATAATTAAATAGTGGCTCTAGCTAGGAAGCGGAATGCCGTCGCAGGCAATGCAAGCGAAAAAACGTGTTCAAATCTCGCCATGCATGCATGCATGCGCTAGCTCGTCGTACGACCGTCCTCCGAAATTCCTCCCTCGTCTCTTCCGCCGTCAAGTCAAGCCGTCATCCTTCGCCACGGTCGCCGATCGTGTGCTTGACCGCCCCCCGCCGTACGAAACGTCGTACCCCCCGCGCGCCCCTCGCTACGTGCACGTCCGTCACAATGGCATCCTGGCCCCGCCAGAAAATGAATCCCCAACACGCGCGCCACGTCGCCGCCGCGCGATCCATCGCCGGCCGGCCGGCCGGCCGTCCTGCTGCAAAAACAACTACGCGCACGCATGTTTCAACTTGCGATCCGCCACTGGGATAGCCACAGCTAGCCGGGCGACGGATCCCGATCCCTTAGTCGTCGCCATGTGCGAGCTGACTTTGTGTGCGGTTCCGGGGAGCCAATGGCGCGAGGTGAAGTGCCCCGCGTCTGCGTCCAATCCACCATCGACGGGCGCCTCTCCCTCCTCTGCTTGCTCAGCCGACGTGGACGGCGAGCATATGATAATGGCGAGGGGCCGTCGAGTTGCGTTTTTAAATCGGTTTTTCTGGGTGGTTTGGTGGCCCGGAGCACTCCACCTCGCCTTGCCCGGTCGTCCTTCCGCTGGTCGGCCCAATCCTTCCTGCGGCTGCGGGCTGGCCCCGCGGGGAGGATGCGCATTGTCAAAAGGTTTGTTGCGTCATTCGGGGGCAGGATCTGTTGTGGCTACCAAATAGTCCGTTCAAGAATATGAGACCCACATACTTTTTGAGATTTAACTTTGATCATCAACTAGATCAATAACACGCAAATCATGTTACTGAAAATTACACCGTTAAAAACTTCTTTCAAATACGAATTTAATAATATTATTTTCATGACACATAACCCATATTTCATGGATTAAGTTTATGGTCGTAACTTAAATCTTAAAAAGCATGGGCACCTTATATTCTCGAACATAGTATCATTGTGCCATTAGGAGATTACTATGGTGTTGCTGTTCAAATGGAGTTTTTCTCAAGAAATGTAAATAGTTTTATTTTAAAATTTATGTAAATGGTTTTTACAATAACAACAAGGAGCAGGAAAGGAAGAAGCAAGTTTGAGCCCTGGGATGTATGCCCCAACTGGCACATAAACTAAAGGCGAAAAACATGAAAACACCAAAGTATTAGCGAACAAAGTTTAACAGAAATTACTTGGCCAACGGGCGTCGCAAGGACCAACAACACAACATCGACTAAGTAAAAGGAACGAACATTGTCCACAATCTAGATCAACAACCAGCATGAGGAATCAGTCGAGCGCCACAAACCGATATCCAAGTATCACCCCATCCATGCATGCACATGCACATCATGGTCACACCATTTGGAAGGATCATTTCATCACCTTGCGGCAAGGCGTCCATATCTTCTCGCTTCCGAATATCTGTCCAACATAGTAGATACGAACATGCAAAGGACACAATCTCAAAGGCAGGTTTGATCAGGATTTTGTCAAAATGCTACTTTGTTGTGCACATTCTAGATTTCCTAGCAAACTGCTAGAGAACAACAACATACTAGATTTCACACTTACAGGAAAAACACATATATGTAGCACCAAATATAGAATTGCCAGACCAAGTTAGTACACATATGAATATAAAAAACAAACCCAGAAGAAACAAGGAACATATAGGATTCCCATGCCAGCACCTTTTCCTAATAACGTCCCTAGTAAAAATATCACCCTCGAATAGTTGCCAAAGGAAGATTTGGATTTTAAGAGGAAGGAAGGGGGTCTTAGCTTCCGAGATCCAATTATAGTTTGTCCCGGCAAGGTCATTCTCCAGCAATTGGTACATGGTCTTACTATAAAAGTTAAATTTGTATCATCATGATTATTATATCAAGGAAGAACATTGATTGGTACACAAGTCCTTCCATTGCTAACTGAATCGAGACATGAGACAAGCTTCTCCTGAAAGAAAGACAAGGGACATAGTAGATGATTGATAAACAGCGCGCTCTTGCACATCGAACGTTCCAAATAACTGAGAATGTTGCTCACAACAAGTACAAGGTACATTATCACGCATGATATATTTCGAGAGTCTAGCAATTTTTCCGTTGTTCAATGCCACCCTCCATCCAACCGTACAAATCTCCGACTTCATGATGGCTATCCAATCGGGGGAATTGGATAATATAAATTTAACAAATGCAACAATATTATTATGGTAGTAATACACAACATTCACTATACCTTGCAACAAGCCATTCTGCTTCTCAAGCTCCCACCACCACTTAATTAAGAGACTGGTATTTTGTTTCCTTTAGTGCTGGACACCCAAATCCCCTTTTTTTTAGGAACTCCTCTGATTCATAGGATAGGGAAATGGAGAATTTTATATATTTTTTGTAAAAATAAGATAGGAATACATGTGTAGAATAGAGGATTGGAAAAAGAACCCTACAAGGTTGGACGCCTAATTTGTAGAAAAAAAAATATACGTCATGAATTGTGAAGACGTCCATATTGTGGAGAAATTAAAACTTCCTTCTTGGCACAACTATTTGCTTGATCCAAAAATAAATCCCTCTGTCCCATAATGTAAGACATTTTTTAACACTAGTGTAGTGTCAAAAAAGGTCTTATATTAGGGACGGAGGGAGTATTTGCTTGATCTAGAGCTAATGAGGTCCCAACATGGTATGTCTCTTTTCCTTGTGCGCATGAATTTTGGAACGAGGTGTGACCGTGTGAGTCGACTTTTTCATTCATTTACTTCTGTCTTGAAGCTGAGATGGGAGAAAAGTATCCTCTAGTCCTTCCATCCATTCATGTGAATCAAAGGGGTGACAACACCGTAGAGTAAAAATTGAAGAATGAAAATTGACTTGAACAAAAGGCAACGTGTAACTACCAAACATCATATTTCTCTGTAAATAAAGCTGGGGTATTGCACTTCAAATGGGATTGTTCGAGCAGTAAAAAAAGAGAGATGATGCATGTGTCGACGACGATAGAGCACAACTAGGGCTGCGGAGAGAGGCGACCACACAGGATGGAACACGAGGCACGTGCCACGCCGCACCACTCTTGTCTCATTCGATTTTCGCCTTTAAAACGCCCGGAGGCGAGGACGCTGTCCATGGCTATATAAGCCACTCCGCGCCCACGGATGATAGAAGATCGGTACGTTTAACCTCTTGCTGTCCCCCTCAGATCGTCCGCGTCCGCCTGCCTGCCCCAAAGTCGCACCTATCCATTGCCCCCGGCCGGTAGCTATCTGTCCGTCGTCGTCGCCGGCCCGTGCGCGCCCTTCTGTTATGGCCACCACGACGAGCTACGACAACGCCGACGTCCGGCACAGGGCCCTCGGCGTGCACGGCGCGTCGCGCAAGATCGGCAAGCCGGCGCCGGCGCCGTCGTCGCAGGCGCAGCAGCAGAACCGGAAGCCGGTCATCATCTACATGGTGTCCCCCAAGGTGATCCACGTGGAGGCCCACGAGTTCATGTCGCTCGTGCAGCGGCTCACCGGCCCGGAGGTCGCCGGGGAGGACGGGCGGGAGAGGGCGTCCACGTCGTCGTCCTCCCCGAGGACCGCGGCGGACAGGGCCGGGAGGGCGGCGCAGCCGGTGCGCGTCAAGGCCCGCGCCCTCAACCGGCCCGGCCCCGCGGTGTCCGTCTCGGTGACGGCCACGAGGCAGCAGCAGCAGCAGCAGAACGTGCCGCCGTCGTGGGCGGGGCCGTCGCCGTCGCCGACGACGGGGTTCCTGTTCCACGACCTCAGCCCGCTCCGCGGCGGGGCGCTCAAGGGCGAGGCGCCCATGGTCTCCCCGTGGCTGCACCAGACCAGCGACCATTTCTTGAGCCCCGGCGGCGCGTCGGCGCTCGGCTCGCCGTCCGGCTTCCTCGACATCTTCGGGCCGCTCTCGTCCCAGCAGCAATGATCGGGTCAACCCTCAGCCGACGGCGACATGGTCAGAAGTCTTACCAACTCAATACTGTGCATTAGGGTTTCTGCATGATGAACACGCATGCTCGCTCGCTCGATCGCCTCACACGAGATGATCAAATTGGCCCGGTGTTGTCTAGGCTGGTTCGGCAAGCTGTAAATTAAATAGTCTAGGTTCTTGCAGGATTTCATTTTATGTGTTTGATTTTGATTTTGCTTACCCGCTTGTTTGCAGTTCTTGCTGTACATTAATTGTAATAACCATGAGATATGAAATTGATTTATTTGTTGATTCGTTTTAGTTGGTGCTGCAAGTTGTATATAATTGATAATGCATTAGGCGCTTGAATTGAGAGAAACATATATGCAGAAATGCAATATATCCTGGTGCTTGACTTACTAGCTAGCTGGACTCCACTCCATTCTCATCGTGTACATGCGAACCACTTCTAGCTACTCCAAGAAATTAAGAATGTCGTATTTAATCCACCGGATATACGGTGATCTACAGCTTGATCACCGCATACTCCAAGAAATTAAGTATATATTTCTACTCTTCTTATAGTTGGCCTGCAATGGTTTACGGCATTAGTCTTTCTGTTGAGGCCTTGGACCTGAGCCATGAGGGGGTTATACACTAAGAAGGACTACATATTGCATAAATGCAGTTTTCTAAGAAAATTAGAATTGATGATATTGCTCACGATCTTAGGTATGCCTTCTGCTAATTACTCAAGGGATCACAAACAGGTCCATGCAGGCTTGCAGCAAGTTTCTAATACTAGGACACAGTAATAGTAGACCCCAAAGGGCATTTGGTCTAGTGGTATGATTCTCGCTTAGGGTGCGAGAGGTCCCGAGTTCAATTCTCGGAATGCCCCTATTTTATTTCTTTTTCTTCCTTCCCAAACAAAATCTTCTGTTTACTCCCTTCAACTTCCCCTCCAGCTTACTGAAAGCAGTTGTTGGCTCGCTTTTTCCTTTTTTTTGCGAGGGCAGTTAATTGGCTCGTTGCAACGATTTATTTACTGCCTCCCGTTTGGACTTTGCAATAGAATTGAACACTTTGTGAAGTTTTTTTTAGCATCAGTACAAACACAAGCGCTCATATACACGTGAATACACTCATCCCTATGAACGCACACACGCACACCCTACTCCTATGAGCACCTCCGAGAGACTGAGCCAACATATCATCTTGAGATTTACGAAGTCACCGTAGGCGCCTCGTCGTCGACGGGAACGTCTTCTCCCACTGAAAGCGCATTGCCGGAAATCCTGAAATAAATTCAGGAATAATGCGAGCACCAGGATTTGAACCCTGGTGGATTGGGGATACCACTGTCCACCTAACCAACTCAACTACAGGTTGATTCATACTTTGTGAAGTTTTTTTTGGGAACGGAGGCAGACAATTTGCCTCGTCGATACAGTTTGTGGAGATCAATCCAAGCTGTTCAGCAATGTCTATACAGCTATACTCTATACCCAACGCGGCTCCATTGACAATGGATTGATCACCAGTTTATTTACAGAGAAGTGCTTGAATGCCTGCCCAACTGTTGCTACAACAGAAAATGCAGATGCTCTCCACCAGTTTACAGGGATGTGAACTTGGGACAGCAACATGGTTCCGCTAGTCGTAGGCAGCAGCTCTTCACACATGACCGAAACCAACCGTCCCCTGATCTGAACTTTATACTTTGCGGCATGAACTCCCACACCTGTTATGCACCCACTATCAAAATCGAGGTGGTGCGCACAGGCAGAGATTATCAATTAGGGCTAGCGGCATCCTTAACAACGTGTTGACGTTTAACCTGCAGCTAGCGTCAGGACAATTCGTATCTAAAGAAGGGAATTAGGGCATGTCCAAGTCCAATGCTCACCCTCAAACTCGATTTACATGGCGAACCAACATGTGGTTCGATGGTTAGACGGATAGTAGTAGGTAAATGTTTACAGTCGGTGCACCGGCTGAAACTTGCGCCGGACGCACCCACGCATCCCGTGGGGCCCCGCACCGCTCTGCCCCTTTCCCTTATCTTCTTCCTTCGTTTCAGAGCTTTGCGGCCACAATTCCCCACAGGGCGCTACCCACCACTCCCTCTCCTTCTTCCACCTCCCCTCCCCATCGGCGCTGCCCACCTTTCCCTCTCCTTCCTCCGCCTCCCTCACCACCGGTGCTCCCCACCTCTCCCTCTCTTTCCACCCCAAGCAGCCAGTGCTGCCACAAGCGGGCGGGGCTTCGACGACCGTCCAACAGCAACTGCCATGAAGGTTCAGCACCGGTGCTACGACGGGGCGTCGACCGGTGTTGTGGACGGGAGAAGCCATCGGCGCCGTGCACAGGAGAGCCCACCGGTGGTTCGACTTCGACGACGCCCATTGCTGGAACTGGCTCATGGTGGTGTTGGAACTGGCTCATGGCCGTGCTGCAATTGCTTGCGGGCCGAGCTAGGAACATGGCGATGTCGGAAGCGAAGGCACTTTTTATGCTCGGCTAATTTTACATTTTTGCTACCACCGTTTTTTGGTTTGCTGGAACCAGCACTAATTTTTGCTACCATGGGCGCTTTGGTTTGCTAGTACCGATGCCAAGTTTTTGCATTTTGCTACAACTGGTGTTTTGATTTGTTGGAACCAGCTTCAATTTTTGCTACAACTGCTGCTTTCGCTTTTTGCTAGAAGAACACCCAATTTTGCATTTTTGCTACAAATGGTGTTTTGGTTTGCTGGAACCAGTTTGAATTTTTGCTACCAATGGTGTCTTTGGTTTTTGCTAGAACATCTTTCCACAAAGGCCCCATTTTTGCATTTTTGCTTCCAATGTTTTTGGTTTTGCTGGAACTAACACAAAGATTCGCTAATACCGGTGTTGTCTCCGAGCCATGGTTTTCTGCTGCTGAGTTTTTTTGCTGGAACCGTCATTTAATTGTGCTGGAGCCAACATTTTTGTTGCAACCGCCTTCGCGTTTTGCTACGACAAGCGAAGCTTTTTGCTACATCCATGCATGGCTCGAGAGTCCGGCAGGAAACACAGGGAGACGACGACAATGAGGGGCGGCAACCAGCGGCGACCGGCGACAAGGGCGGGGACCGGCAAGACGTGAGCGGCTGCTGCAGGCCGCGGCGGCAACGCCGTGTTCCCACGAGGAAGGAGGAACCGAGATCGAAAGCGGAGCACGATGCACTCTTTTTTCTGTTGCAAGACCCATATCGAACGGGTCAAATATGCTGAATCGGACATTCGTGCAATGACTGGCTTGAAGGAAATATGCCCTAGGGGCAATAATAATGTTGTTATTTATATTTTTTATATCATAACAAATGTTTATTATTCATGCTAGAATTGTATTAACCAGAAACTTAATACATGTGCGGATACATACACAAACAAAGTGTCCCTATTATGCCTCTACTAGACTAGCTCGTTAATCAAAGATGGTTAAGTTTCCTGACCATAGACATGTGTTGTCATTTGATGAACGGAATCACATCATTAGAGAATGATGTGATGGACAAGACCCATATGTTATCTTAGCATATATGATCGTTTAGTTTTATTGCTATTGCTTTCTTCATGACGTATACATGTTCCTCTGACTATGAGATTATGCAACTCCCGAATACCGGAGGAACACCTTGTGTGCTATAAAACATCACAACATAACTGGGTGATTATAAAGATGCTCTACAGGTGTCTCCGATGGTGTTTGTTGAGTTGGCATAGATCAAGATTAGGATTTGTCACTCCGTGTATCGGGGAGGTATCTCTGGGCCCTCTCGGTCATGCACATCACTATAAGCCTTGCAAGCTATGTGACTAATGAGTTAGTTATGGGATGATGCATTACGGAACGAGTAAAGAGACTTGCCGGTAACGAGATTGAACTAGGTATTGAGATACCGACGATCGAATCTCGGGAAAGTAACATACCGATGACAAAGGGAACAACGTATGTTGTTATGCGGTTTAACCGATAAAGATCTTCTTAGAATATGTGGGAGCCAATATGAACATTCAGGTTCCGCTATTGGTTATTGACCAGAGACGTGTCTCGGTCATGTCTACATAGTTCTCGAACCCGTAGGGTCCGCACGCTTAACGTTCGGTGACGATCAATATTATGAGTTTATGTGTTTTGATGTACCGAAGATAGTTCGGAGTCCTGGATGTGATCATGGACATGACGAGGAGTCTCTAAATGGTCGAGACATAAAGATTGATATATTGGACGGCTATATTCGGACACCAGAAGTGTTGCAGGTGATTTCGGAGAAAACCGGAGTGCCGGAGGGTTACCGGACCCCCCCTGGGAACTAATGGGCCACATGGGCCTTAGTGGAGAGAGAGAGGGCCGGCCAAGCCAGGGCCGCGTGCCACTCCCCCTCTAGTCTGAATTGGATTAGGGAAGGGGGCGGTGCCCCCTTTCCTTCTCCCTTCTCCTCCTTCCTTTCCCCCTCCTAGTAGGACTAGGAAAGGGGAGTCCTACTCCTATGAGGAGGAGGACTCCTCCTCTTCAGGCGCGCCATAAGGGCCGGCCGGCCTCCCCCTTGCTCCTTTATATACGGTGGCAGGGGGCACCCTAGAACACACAAGTTGAGCATTGATCCCTTAGCCGTGTGCGGTGCCCCCCTCCACCATAATCCACCTCGGTCATATCGTCGTAGTGCTTAGGTGAAGCCCCGCACCGGTAGCTTCATCATCACCATCATCACGCCGTCGTGCTGGATCGAGAGTTCATGGGACCCCATCGAGCCGAACGTGTGCAGCTCGCAGAGGTGCCGTACTTTCGGTACTAGGATCGGTCGGATCGTGAAGACGTACGACTACATCAACCGCGTTGTCATAATGCTTCAGCTTACGGTCTACGAGGGTACGTGGACAACACTCTTCCCTTATCGTTGCTATGCATCACAATGATAGATCTTGCGTGTGTGTAGGATTTTTTTTGAAATTACTGCGTTCCCAAACAATTCGAACACCGGATG